AGTTTGCTAGGAGGTTTGCTCTATCCTCCCTCTTCGGACTTCTTTGCTGGCTCAAAATATCACAAATAGTCTAGTTTCTAGGTTATGCGGGTTGTTTTGCATCAAATTGATGAAAAATTTTTGAGGTTATATATTTAGTTTATGAATTTTCTATTTTAGCGTCTTAAATTTATTTTTTATGAATCATATTTTCTAATCAATAATTTTTTACACATTCTTTTAGTTTATTATTTTTAAAATTATTAACTTTCTTTTTTTTTTTTTTCATTTTCTTAAATGTGTTAGATTTTTTTTCAAAGAATAAATAAAGACGATGAGAATTTAAAAAGAAAAAAGAAAGATGAACTAAGTGAATCTTTGTTTTGAAGATTTTTATGGCAGAAAAATTTTTTATTTTGAAATTGTATATCTATAATATTGATTTTTTTAAAATCAACTACATATATTATTCTCAAACATTTTAAAAGAAGAATTATTTTAATTTTTAAAGATGGAAAGAAGCTAATATATGCAAGGGCTAAGTCGTTATTTTACAAGTTGATTATTTAAGTTCATAAAAAAAAACAAAAAGTTAATGCTACAATAAGTGGTTTGACACTCTTTTTCCTTAAGTGAGGCTGATGGTTTGATATTTATGAATGAAGTAAATACTTACTGAGAACATTTTATTCCTTTATAAGCCACCCAATGCGAGCAGAATTTAGTTCTAGCTCAGCGGACTGAGGATACTTGTAGTTAAAAAAAAAAAAAAAAAATTAGCAATACATTAGTAATCTTTAATCATACTCATGGATTCAAGATTTAATTCAAAATATATCAAAGTACACTTATTCAATATTAAGTGTCAAAATTAACTTCCCATTAATTGAATTCAATATTTTTTTAGTTTCCTAATATTATTTGCTTTTCTTCCATAATCCATTTTTTTAATATAACAAAAGTAATTCTTGGTTTTCCATTTTCAAAGTCACTTTAAACCTATTGGGAGAAAACCAGAAAGGAAAAGAAAAATAACTTTTCGGAAGTAATTACGATTGAGTTTTTGTGAAGATTTAAGGACATTGCTTAATTGGGAATAAGGTCATTGCTTGTGTTTATTATGCTCCATAAGATTCTCCCTCCATCTCAAAATATTTGTCCACTTGACTTAAAAGATATTTATTTATTTTTATACCTCTCATTATAACGGTTTTAAATTCTAGAAATAACTTTTTTTTCTTTTTTAAAGGAGGACAAGTTTAAAAAGTATGAATATTTTATATGATTTGACACTATAATTAATATATTTCTTAAACTTTGTGCAAAAGTCAATGGGACAAACATTTTAGATCAGAGGAAGTATAAATTTAAATTATATTCATGTGTATAGTTACTAGAAATAATAGAACGAATAAAATAGGAAATTAGTAAAAAGATTGAGATACCCATTAACAATTTTACTTCAATTTAATTTATCCAATTAATTAATTTATTAAAGGAGGCTTATTTTTATAATAAATTATATTATTATCTTTAATATTTGCAAATAATAAGAAGGAAAAATATTTATAAATCTATAGTTCTTATTTCTAATAATTTTAAAAAATAATGTTCAAGATTCATACAAATGCAGGAATATATTGTATCTTTAGAATACTCTTAAATAAATATTATTATAACATAATTAAATATAATTTCCACAAATGCAATTCCTTGGTACAATTATTAAAGTTGATTTTTTTTGTAGCATGAGGGCAAAAATGGATCAAATAAGAGAGAAAATATAATACAACAAACAAGATATATAACATAAGGCTAAAAATGCATATGGCAATTCAGTATTGCAATTCAGAAGGGAAATCTAAGAATTGGTATTACATGATTTATTTCTATGTATTACAAACCTGTCATAGATAATATTGCCATTTCTATCCAAGTTACTACATATGGCACAAATGTGATAGAAGGAGTATTTTTATTTTTTTTCATTGATTTAATAATCAAATTGATTAAAATTGGATAAAAGGAGTAAATGTTATGATGGAGCAAAACAAAGGCACTTGAAAAAGCATTTTTGAAAACACAAGGATTGATTAGTTATATTTTAAAATATTAAGGGACACAAAGTAATTTTTCCTTAAAAAAAAAAAAAAGACTAATTTAACTCAAAATAAGCAAAAGCTTTTAATTTCAAAATTTATATTTATTGGTTTCCTTACAGTTGCTCAATATATTGAATAATTAGTTTTGAAATTAATTTGGATTTATGAACCATTTTCAACAAACAATGGTAATAATAAAATAAAAAAACGAAGAGTAAACTTCAAAAAAATTTGCTCCATGGGCTGTTGGGGAAGTGTATAAATTATGTTTCTATTAGTTGGGCTTTTAGTGTTGGACTCACCGTTGCTAAAATAATTTTTAAGTTCCATTGCTGCCACAATCTAGCATTGCCATGGTTGGGTTTCAAATCAAAGTTAAATTGAAATTAAACTGGTCAAATATGAAATCATCCTCACCGACTTTTGGTTTCAAATTGTAATTAAAATCATGCATTTATGATTCGATTTCGATTTTTCATTAGAGAGAAATTCCTAATTTATTTTTTATTTTATTATTATTTTTTTAAATTATTTTGATTAAATTAGTTTATGTTTTTCAACAATACTATTTTTATTGTTATTTGTTCAAGCTACAAAATTAAAAAAAATAAAATAAAAAGATTGTCTAATTTTAATTTCAAATTAGAATGGAACTTAAATAAGTGGTTTCAAAATCGTCTAAAAGTGTGTCGATTCTAGTTAGCTCTTCTTATAATCAAAAACAATAATTTTAAAATTAAAATAGACGATTTTGAAACCGTAGTCATACCTTCCTTTTTCTTAAAGGAAGTCCTTTTTTTTTTTTTTTTTTTATAATCAAAACAGATAAATTTTTAAAATTAAAATAGACCGATTTTTGAAACCGTAGTCCATACCTTCCTTTTTCTTAAAGGAAGTTTTTTTTTTTTTTTTTTAAATGCTTAGACATGGTGATATTTAGATAAAATTCTCTCAACAACGATGATTTTCGCTTTTGAATCTAGGTTGACATTACATATAGAGTTTGCTTAAGAATAAAGTTTACTTTCGTAGATCCAACCACATATTTATATTTTTAAAAATTTTTTATAAAAGAATGTCTTGAAATTTCGAGAAAATAAATAAAAGAAACAGATAACCCAACTGTGGTAGAGACTAGAGATGCTTAATTCAAGATCAAGCAAAATAATTAAAGGTGTGTTTGTTTGAATTTGTTGTAGCAAAAATAAGTTTGTTGGTTTAATCTTTTCATACGAGAATCTTATTTGAATATGAAAGCAAAAAATTAGCTTATTTGGTAAGCTATTTAGCTTTTTAACCAAAAGACAAAATATCTCCACTTAATATTTAAAATAAAAAATTATATCCAAATGTGTAACTTTTAAGGTTGACTTTACTTACAGAAAATAATTTTTTGCTTTCTATTTTCTATTTTCTAAGAAAATAATTTTCTAAAAAAATGAAAATTAGAAAACAGAAATTAGAAAATGCATTCATTTGGTAATAATAAAAAATTATATTTTAATTTAAAACTTCACAAATATTGTTCATGACTTTTGTAATTAAAAAATAAAATATTATAAAAAATTTAGAAATTTTTTATTTAAAAATTTTAAATTTTTAGTATTGATTATTTATAATAATAATATCAATTTAGGTTATTGATTATTATATATAATAATATCAATTTTTTCGTTTTTATTTTTTTAGAAATAAAAGATATAATGTATCTTTAATAATAATAAAATTAAGTATATTATTAAAACATAATATTACATTTTTATGTTATTAAAATTTTTTATTTAAAAATTTTAAATTTTTAGTATTGATTATTTATAATAATAATATCAATTTTTTCGTTTTATATTTTTTTTAGAAAATAAAAGATATAATGTATTATAATAATAATAAAATTAAGTATATATTAAAACATAATATACATTTTTATGTTATTTAAATATTTTTTTATCTTTTCAATGAAAATATTTTATAGAAAAATTATTTATAGATATTACAATTTTAATTATTAAAATGTCATTTTTTTTAAAATAGAAAATATGTCATTTGCTATCAACTCACTGTTCTAAATCCCCAAATTTTAGTTTGAAATATTGAAAAACTGTTTTCTAGTTTTCTAAATAGAAAACTGACTAATTTGAATACAAAACTCTATTTTCCAATTTTCTTGAAAAACTTTTATAGCAAACTTCTCCAATTTCTACAAATGAACACACCATAAATTACTATGAACTATTTTTAACTTTTAAACAACTAATTTATAATTTTCATCATTAGATTAAATTTTGGACTTTATATAAATAACATACATTTATATCTTTTACGATTATATAATTATATTAATAGTTGAATAACGAGCTAAATTTGTATATTTGGTTTATCTTATATAATATAATATTGATTTTACTATTATACATAGATAGTCAAATATATAAAAATGTATTCATTCAAATTATTCAAATATCTTATTTACCAAATAATCTTAATCATTCAACAAAATTCTTAATATCACTGTTTAATCATTCAATTTGATACGTCGTTAATTCAGATTGAGCATTCAGCTCAAACAAACCACCGTTAAGCCAATAAGGAGGACTAAAACTACATTTGCTTAATAAATTAGTTCAATAAGTTAAAACCACACGCATGCAATTAATTGATTGTAATTTCTTATTGCCATATAATTTGATAACATTGATTTGGGATTATTAATTTTAAATTGAATTCAAAATTGATAAAGAAGGTTAATTTTTTCAGGGAAATGTACTTAAAAAAACAATTATGCAAGCATATAATTAATACGAATTCTAATAGTCCAGTTAATTATGTTTAATAACAATCAAATATTCTCCATCAACTCGATACAATTGATCAACAAAAAAGTTATGAATTGCTAACAATTTTGACGATACAGAAAATGGAAGAGAAGAAGAAGAAGTAATTTGCAACATCTGGGTATACAATCTCCTAAAAGAATTAGTTATCATACAATTAAGATTTGATGATCATAACAAGAATGCTACTTTTATGTACACACTCTCAAGGAGAACAAAATAACAAAAAAATGTTATAGTAATCATGAATGCTGTAGAGATTAAGTAATTGCATGAGTTACTTAATTAATGAAATCCTCTTGAACCTCTAGACTGATAGAGTTCCAATCTACTCTTTGCTTCTGGTAATATAGAATCAATTGTAGGGTTCTGAACCAAATGTGCTTGCTTTGATGACCATTCTAGTACAATAAGCACCTCTTCATTTGCAAGAACTTCACTATCTGGGCAATTTAATGCTATATAACAAAGAAGAATCGATGAAGGGATTTGAACCATTTGTTCTCCAAAGTAAACCAATTGGATTAGATGCTTAGCACCTCCTGCATTTATAATAGCCTTGGAATGGTTGACACAAAGGTAATTTTCCGTGCAGGCGAACTTATTAAGAGCAACCACAGCTTCCATTGTGACCTCAGCTTCCCTTTCGTCTAGTAACTTCACCAAGGGACCGATAATTCTAGTTTCTGTTGCGCGAAAAGTCCTGGCCAAATTACCAATAGCTCTAACACAAGGGGCGAGGAGATCAGAATCTGACTTCTCAATTACTTTAAGTAATTGATCAACCACAGTTTTTGCAGCAGGGGATGTAGGCTTAAAAGCTGAGCGTCTCAAATCAGCAGTTTGTTCTGCTACCGCTGTTATTTCCATTAATGCCATTGCTGAATGGGTTTTAACATCTTCAGGGCCTTTCTCTAACAAAACTGCGAAGCATAAAAGTGCACGCGACTCTGTTATGTTACGACAAATTGTAACATTTTCTTTGCATAGTTGCCAAAGTGCTCTTGCTGCCATTGCTTTCATATGTGCTTTTGTTGCTGGGTCTTCATATTCCCTTCCCCTAATGCTAGTCCCAGTTAAAACATGATGTTGTTTTGGATTATTTTGATTATTTCCTCTCAATTGGGTTGGGTGAGTTTTTGAAAGACTTGCTAAATGGTTAGGATTTTGGGTAGGATTCTGGTGTTTCATTGCCAAAGTGTTGGTTACAACATTATGCATTTGTGTAGCAGAGTTATTATCATGATTCATTGGATGAACAATTTTCACATGTTCTTCTTCATTCTCCTTTTTATCATTAGTATTATTACTAGCCATGAAAACCGAATGAATAGACATCTGTTGCTTGCTTGCAATTGCATACTTACTATGTTCTTGAACCGTCTCAAAAGCAAGATGACTAACCAGAAACCGAATTATATTATTTTGTGCAAAATGGTCCTGGCATTTTGGATGGTTTGCCGCTAATTCAGAAACCGCCCATGCAACCATTGCTTGAACTTTCATATGACCTTCTTTGAGGATTTTCGCAAACACTGTACAAACCCCAGCATTCACAATCTGTTCAACGCTGTCTGGGTCACGTCCCAATAAACCAATAGCTCTTGCTGCATTTTCTTGACCTTCCATTTTCCCTTCCTTAGCTAACTTCAACAATGGAGGTACGCCACCTTCCTCTATTATCAATCTGCCGTATCGTTCATTATCTCGAGCCAAAGAAACCAATGAAGCTGCAGCATCTGATCTTTCCTCTAACGACCCTGTACAAAGAATAGCAACTTGTTCCCATATAAGACATAAAATTGGTTCATTTGCAGCAATAGGTGGCAACCCTAAATATTCATCGTCTCTGTCATCAGCCGAAGCTGATACACGTAAAAGCCAAGAAACATCTCCTATTGAATTCTCTAACTGCATAGACGTTTTTCGAAATGCACCTGAGGGTATAATGGTGAACATTCGTTTCATAATCCCTGTCGCTCGACATTTTATAACCAGAGTAAGAGCTTTATCTAGTACTTGCTCTGTATCATCGATTATACGTCTTGTTGGACGTTCATATAAGTCATTGCTGGCACGAGCTGCTTGGCGTAAAAGAGTTGCGAGTTTTTCTGTCTTGGCCTTAATCTCGAGACATTCTTGTTTAAAAGATTGCGCTTCATCTGTTGATTTTGTAACTTGGTCTGCTAATTGTATTGGCCTTGCCAGGATCTCTTTCACGATGTCCGCCATGGCCAAAGCGGACCACAACTCTGAAAAATTTTAAATCAATGAGAATTTTATATAAATGATCAACTATTTGTTTGGAGATTGCCAAAAATATTGAAAAAAAGGAAAGTATTTTCTTGTTTTTCTTCTTCTCTTTGTAGTGACTTGAAGATAGGGTGGTGGAGAGAATAATGGGTGGTGGTGGGGGCGGAGTTGGCGCCGCCGGGGAATTTTACTAGAGAGAGATGAAGAAGGAGAGAAAGAGAAAGACGGATAGGTGGTTGTAATGGTTAAACGAAATTTTCTCCAACGTTTATGATGGACAGAGCAATACCATTCCTCTAAGGTTATATTATTAGGAAGTGAATTATATATGAAGAAAAAAATATATATAGAATTAGTTGAATATAAGGGAAGAGTTAGGTGAATTCGTAAGGAGGAGTTCTCAGCGTTCGATATTATTGGATAACACTCTAGAATTATTTCATAATATGAATTACTCTAATATATCGCAAAGCCGGACCACAATCACCCTGAAAAATTTAAATCAATGAGAATTTTATATAAATTGATTCAACTATTTGTTTGGAGATGGCCCCAAAAATATTGTAAAAAGGAAGTATTTCTTGTTTTTCTTCTTCTCTATGTTATATCTTAAATTGCAGATGATAATATCGCTTCCTTTTAAATAGGTAACCGATGGGGCAAAAAAAAGTGACTTGAAATTAGATGAGCGCTGGATGTGGTGAGCGCGAAAATATTACTGTGATTGTGTTGTGGTGAGAGTGGTCGTCAGACGCTCTGAGTGTAATGGTCTCTGATCTTATCGCAGAGAGAATGATAAGTACAGAGTAGAAGAGTGAGTGAAGAAATACGGATAGTGCGTGGTGCTACTAGTTGATAAAATATGATAAATATATTCTTCCAACGTTTAATGATGAGACATTCAATTCCAGACTAAGGAGAAAATTTATGGCTCCTTTCAAAGGTTGTATTAGATATTTTATGTGTACGATAGTGAATTTAAATTAATTATATGAAGATAAAGATAGTCATATTATTAGAATAGAGATTATGATGGAATAGCTAGAGAGCGTCGCTTCCAATTAAAAAGGTGGATAATATATTATGAGAAAGGTAGGAGATAGATGTTCCTGGCTAGTGTAGCTTCTCAGAAGCCACTTATTAATTGGATAACACTCTAGAATTATTTCATAATATGAATTACTCTAATATATATGGTATATATATATATAATTTAATTTTAATTTTTTCGATATTAATTCAAATTTATTCATGTACTATTAAAATTTATTATTTTTTTATTAGCAATTGTGTAATTAACAGAGAATTAAAAATCCTACACTTTAAATATCAAAATAATAATTTAAAAAAAGAAATCTTATACTTTAACATGTATATTAAATTTATTATTTTTATTAGCAATTGATAATAAAGGAATTAAAAATTCCTAATTTAATATCAAAATAATAATAAAAAAGAATTTATACTTTAAATTTTTAATTTCAAAGTACATTAATAATGTCTGAGTGATATAAATAAATAAATCATATTAAATTTAGAGAAAATAGAGAAAAAATAATAAAAAAAAAGAATAGAGAATTTTCAATGAGGTTGAAATTAATATTCCAATCTCAATTACATTACAGTGTTAAAAAAAAAGTTTAACCAAACAATATAATCATTCATGTAATGTAATTTTCATTACATTACATGGTTGATTAGAACATACTAAATATGACCTTAAAGTTAAGAATTTTGATAACATTGCATACTTCTTCACATTAGCAATAATAATTTTTAGTATTTTTGGCTTTTATATATAAAGTATTAATTTGATATATGATTATTACAGCTTTTGAAAAAACGTTTTCTGATTATATAATAAGTTTTTTATCAATTTAATTTTACAAGTTAAAATGTTTAATACTTCAAAATGAAAGTTCTTAACAGTATCAGCTATTAATAGTAAAGTTCTATATTTCATTGCATTACATTTTTTGATTACATCAAACCAAACATAAGCTAAAAATATAATAGCTTACTTATAGTTTTGATGTTACAGAAGTTTTCATGAAAGTATGAATGAATTTATGTATTAACCTCTCTAAACGATATTGGAGCAAAGCCTTTAAAGAAAACCACTTAAAAGTTTTTGGTTAGCACTAGAAGAGGTAGAAAGATTTGGAATTTCTTCTAACTTGCTTGGTCTTAGTTACCTAGCTTGATTTAATGATTAATTAGAGTCTTGAATGGTTTTTCTTAATAATATTATTTTGTAAATATAATTTTTTTTGAAAGGAAGTATAGCCGTAAATATAATTAATAATTCTTATTATAAGCAAAATTACCTATACAAAAATATCAAATTGATAATTACTTTTATTATCATATCTTATATTGTTATAAGTGCAGTGTATTTCAAAAGATATCACATTACTATTTGTTTCAGAGTTTTTAAAATTGTTTATTTATAAGTACTTGATATTGAACTATTAAAAGGTGTGAAAGAAGTCGGGCTTGCACGCATAAGAATTAGGCCGAAAGTTCAATCCTAGTGCAAACCGAAGAATTGGCCCTCCCTATTTCAAACTACTACCTTATCTTTACCATTTTGCACTACAACGAATATTTAATTATACACTCGTATTCATCTAAAACCCATGTTACAATTACTCAAATCTTATTTAATTGTATTGGATTTTGCCATTCTATACATACTCTTCTCCATTGCAAGACTTTTGTTTCCTGGTGCTCGTAATGGGCCTGCTTGAGACTTCAGCACAGTTTTTTTTCACTATCATGGCCCTTCTTTTTGGCCTTCTTTCTCATTTTGTATTTCTAGTGAACTTTCGGTGTTTTGACTCAATTACGTGGTTTATCTCTACCCCTTTATATGTTTTGAAAAAAAAAAAAAGCCAAATCACTAAAAAAAAAAAAAAAAAAGCCAAATCACTAAAAAAAAAAAAAAATTCTTAATCCAAATAATTAAAAAAAAAAAAAAAAATCTTAATTTTGAAATTTTTAAGTAAATTTAGTCAATATTTTTAATTTTATCTATTATTGTTTTTGAGTTATTCTTACTTATTAATTATGACCTATGTCCGGAGTCCACTAATTTATTGCTTATTTCGTCATTAATTGACCAATAACATGTCAGCTCACATCCATGTAGTCATTTTTTGACGGTTCATCTTTAATTTTAAGATTTCTAAGTTATAAATTTGCATTGTTGAAATAATCTATTTTTCATCGCACCACAAATTTAAAAGAATTTAGTATAGTTTTGCAATTAATGGTGGATATTTGATTGATCTTTGGTAAACAACTCGCACTATCAGCAATTTAAAGATCCAACAAATAGGTTTTTTCATTTCCAGAATTGCACCATTAAACCGCCTGCAATTAGACTCTAAATAAAGATTAGAATTGATAATAAAAAATAATTACATAATATCGATTCCTATAATTAAAAGTATTATCAAATTTGAAAAAAATTCAAAAGTCGAGACTTTTTTAGAGTGATTAAGCATTTTTAAGGATGAGTAAAGCTACATGTTGAAGAAGTTTGGCCGATGCACCGGTGTTCAAGCTTTAATGATGGAGTCTTGTTTTTCATTCAAAGTGTGCCCTACAATGGCCATTAGTTTGCGGACACGGTTTCCGCTCTGTCTTGCCCTATCCAAATCCATACTGCACTTTTCAACTGGTCCATTACCCAATGAGTTTCCATTGTTACCCGGTGCTTTTCATATCAGCATATTACCATATTTTTAGACTAACAGCATAAATTCACCTCTGTGCGCTTCAAAAAAAACATATCGCGGCATTCTCAGAATAAACACTTAGACTTATATAATTATAAAATATGAAAATTATTATTTCAGAAAACAAATTAACCACGTATTAAATCAATATTTTATATATAACAGTCTATTTGGAACAAATGAATTATAGTCGTAAAATTCATTTGTAAATGAATTTTAAGTAAAATTCATTTGCAAATGAATTTGTCATATTTCGTATGCTACAATTTAAAATAAAGAATTCAATTGAATTCCACAAAATTATGTATGCTACAATTTAAAATAAAGAATTCAATTGAATTCCACAAAATTATGTTTAGAATAAATTCTTAAATGAAAATTCATTTGTCTTATTTCTTATAACACCCTTGATATAATAATTTAATAAAAAATAAATAACAAACACCAAATATATTTATTATGTACAACATAATAACTTGTCTTTTTTTATTAAAATATAAATAATAAATTTCATATAAATAAGTACACTAATATTCCATGCTAATTAATTAATTATAAATACTAACATTCATCATAATAATTATTTTAATTGATATAAAAAATTTTGTTGATTTAAGTAATTAATTTGAAAACAAAAAAAAATTTAAAATGTTACTATTGTTTTTATTTGCATTTGAAAACAACTATTGAAGTCTTTATAGTTTCATAGTAATAATAACTAACGTTATTACTAGACTTGAAAAAAAGAAAAAAAAAAAACGTCATCACTAGTTCGAAATTAAAAAAAAAAGATAAAAAATAAAAATATACACTAACATCATTATTAGATTAGAAAGAAGTAATGTTGTTATAGTTTGAAATTTTCCAAGGAAAATAAACAGAAGAGAAAAAAAAAAAAAGAGTTGAGTTTATAATGGAGGGTAATTTTATCAATAAATATTTCAATGGTCAATTTTGTGGAATTCATTTATAAATTTCATCAATTTTAGTAGAATTTGAGTTAGGTATAACCAATTTCATAGAATTCAATTCGTAAAATTCAAATTTATATTTTTCTGCTTCCAAACACAGTATTTTGAATTCCAAATGAATTCCACAGCTTATACGAGTCAAAAATTTTAAATTATTGTATCAGAAGGCGAAAAATTATTATAAAAAATGAAGTCGAAAGATAATAAGTTCCATTTTAAAGTTACCAAATGCATAGATGGGGTGCAGGGCCACTTCATTTCTGCTCCCTTGATAGCTCCGGCCCTGGCTACAGTACAGGGTCTACTCATCCAAAAACAAGCAAAAGTCCGACGGAGACCACCATTTTCAAGAGGGGAAAGTAAGGAAGCAGCTCACATGATGATTAACCCACAGGATGTACGAAACATTATCCTCTTATCGATGCCAAGTCCTCACCACCTCCATCTCATATTGTATACCACTTATCAGCACATTTGGTACATGTGCTCATCCATACATTAAATTAATCAAATAAAAATATTTAATACTATAAGAGAATCAATGTGTTTTAATGTGAAAAAAAAGTGATGAAGTAATAACAAATGATCTCATTAATTATTAGCCTAATATATAAATTCATCGATAAATACTTCTGCTGCCTTTGACAATAGATTTTTAAGTAATTTTTAACGTTTTGATAAGTCAAAACACTATAGTTATTTTTAAAGTGTTCGATAATATAAATTTGAATTAACTTTTAGATATTAAGTAGAGTTTTATAAACAATTAACAGTTAAACACTACTAAAATAGCTAACAGTCATCAAAACAACTAATTTTTTCGAATAGGCTCCTAATATAAAAAATCCTATGACACTTATGCATCTTGAATTATAAAGTTTGATAGCATTGCTCATTTTCATATACTAATAATAATATATTTTTTTTATCTTCTTGATTTGATTTATAGTAATTACTAATTACGACTTTTTTGTAAAGAAAGTTTGCAAATAAAATGTTGCTTGGAAACAAAACTCATCCTACCTTAATAATTCATTATCCAGCCGATAACAACAATTTTTATGACACCAACTTTCTTGTGGTCCTAACCTATGCAAGCGCAAGGTGACACCTACTGTATGAAATCAAGAGGCACAGGACACGGCTTATCCTTTTAACTGCTTATTCCCTTGATTTAGATAGTTAAAGTTTTTCCGTTGATCAAGAAGAGAGCTTTTCCCAGAAACACACACACACACAAATATATATATATATACAATATTCTTTGATTAAAAAACGAAAAGAAAAAGGAATATTGATATGTATAGAATCATAATTTCTTCACGGTTCTTTCTGCTCTGTTTTTTATCCAAATTAAAAAAATTAATTGCATAATAGCTAGAACATAGGATCAGAACTCACAACTCACTAAAATTAAAACTTTAGACAAAATAAAACTAAATAGAAACCCTAAAGATCAACTACCAACACTGATCAGTCTCCCAATTTTTACCAGCATAACCATAAGCTGCTGCCATTGTTGCTGAATTGAGAGAAGACGATGACCCAAAACGGCGACCATGTGAATAGAGATCTCTGTCATAATTTGCCCGTTTATCAGGATCCGATAAGGTTGAATATGCTGCATGAATTTTCTTGAACTCATTTGCAGAAATTTCTTTGTAATTTACAGACACAACGTCAGGATGGCAAGTTCTTGCAAGTCTCCGATAAGCAGCTTTTATCTCATGGCAACTCGCGCTTGTCGGAATTCCCAATACTTCATATAATGATGAAGTTGAAGCCATTTTCCGGTAAAAATTAATCAATTATTCTTGTTTTGGTATAATTCTTGGTGGGTTGGATTTGACATGCACTAATTGTTTGTTTGTGATGTTTTCTTTAGAGGAAATGAAATTGGAGTTGTTACAAGCAAAATAGAGTGGAATGAGAATTATTGAGGTGGCTAGGATAGGAGGGAACGCCTTCAAATAAATATACAAGGGTCACAAGAATTTAACTACAGTTAATTTTTCTTTTCAGTTTTTTTTTTTACAAAAAATAATTATTTTTTTGTTGATTTTTATGTATGGTTACCTTATTATCTATCTAGATTTTATGATATCGAAAATTTTGAAGTATTATTTCTGTTTAATTTTAGTTTTTATTTTTAATATTAAAAGTTCGTATCTTAAAAAATAAATAGATTTTATTTTAGAAACCGATTTAATAAAAGAACAATTAGATGTTATTAATAAATATCATTTTTTATTTATAAAATAAAAATCAAATATCAAAATAATAATAATAATAATAGTTGTACCAAATGGTTCCTATATATAAATGTGAGCATGAGAGGAATAATAAAATTTTCAATAATACTTTTAATGAAATTTAAGATATCATAGAATAACTTTAGCTAATCAAAATTAACTTACATAAATATATATTTTTTTAAAAAATAGAGCTTTTCAAAATTTAAATTTTTACTTTTTTTAATTTATTTTCAAATAAATAATTATGATAATGAGGCAGTTGAAAATTTCACATTTAATGTTATTATTGTAAATTAAAAGGTTTTATTTGGATAGATAAGAAAAAAAAAATAAATCCCTTTAATTGTAATTTAAAATATTTTATTTTATTTACAAATATATATATTTTAAAATTTTTGAAACTTTTACCATAATTTTTTATGATTTAATTTAGTATATTTTTTAAAACTTATTTAATATTTTATTATGCCTTTCAAAATTTGAAATCTTTACTTTCTAAAGTTAAAATTTTAAATAATTATATGTAGAAAGTAATATTTAAAAACAATTTAAAACTTCACTTTTATTCTATTAGATCTTTAAAATTTTTTTCATTATTTATTCTTGATTTTATTATTGTTAACATAATTTGTCTACTTTGTTCTTTTTCTTTAGTTTTTTTTTTATATTTTTATTTTCATAATTTTATTAATCATATAAATTTTTTATTTCTTACTTGTGTCTAAAATATTACTATAAAATCACAAAAAAAAAATATATAAAGTTATAAAAATAGATTTAGCTAGAAAATAATAATATTTATAGAATTCAGCAACATATTATCATCGATTTATTTAGTAAGTATGGTTATTTAAAAAAAAAAATTATTTATTAATATATTAATAATTAATCATTCAATTTATTTTGCATTATTTACCCTTTGTTTTTGTTCTTTCACGTAGAAATAAATTAATATTCCAATTTGATACTAAATCATTTAATATTATAAATAAATAAATATAAATAACGACTAATATATTGAAATATATATAAATTTTTACCAAAATATAAATGTAAAAAGGCAACTTAGTACATCAAATATTCTAAAGTTGGTGCGTGTAACCTTTTTTTTTTTTTTTTTTTTTTGCACTTAGTACATGAAAATATTCTAAAGTTGGTGCGTGTAACCTTTTTTTTTTTTTTTTTTTTTTTTTTTTGCTAAAAAGACCGTTTTCAAAGCATGAATTGATAACCTTCAGAAAAGTAAATGTTATAAATTTTAATTAACTCCCTTGATTATATTGAAATTAATTATTATTTGCATATCGAAACATTAAGCCTGACATAATAATTCAACTTAATTTAAACAAGTCTTAAAAAAATTTAGTTTTACATATTAATTGTAATAATTAATGTGAATTATCTTTTTGACAAGCAAGCAAAATATGGTTAGTTTTTTAGCTTATCATTTTATACAATTTCCCTTGAAATGTTTATCCATCTGATATCTCTAGAAAATTAAAAATTATAAATAAAATAAAAAAAGAAAAAGAAAAAAGAAACCTTATCCATAAGTTACTATCCCAAGCTGAGTCAGCAAAAATTGTTTATATGGATAGGACTCCTAACCCTTTTGGGCCCAGAAGTTTTCTAACCCGAACAGTGCCATAGTTTGTTTGTTAGTAACGGCATCACATCAGAAAAAGCAAATGACTGTCGTCCGTTGAATGGACAAACCAAACCAATTCCCGCCAACGTTTTCTGCCCCTTGAATCCTTGATGTTAAGCCTTTTAGTTTTTTTATTTTTTTTTTAAGTTTATTTGTTTCTTTACATATGAAATATGATGAAATATTATTTTTTAATAAATTTCTTTATAAATTAAATAATTATACCTAAATTTATATTTTATTAATAATTTTCTTATTTAAGAAGTTTTTACATAATCATATAATTATTTACGAAGAAAAAACATGATACCTACTACATTTAAAAAAAATGTTAATTAATTTCGTAAACGAGAAAAGTTAAATTAAATCAAGCTCTATAGAGCTCATGCTTGTTTATTAAAAATATATTCAAATATGAGTTCAGCCTGACCTTAAAAAATTGAATTCAAACTTTACTTACAAATGTTAATTAAGTTTGTAAACGAGAAAAGTTAAATTAAATCAAGCCAAGCTCTATAGAGCTCATGCTTGTTTATTAAAAATATATTCAAATATGAGTTCAGCCTGACCTTAAAAAATTGAATTCAAACTTTACTTACAAATGTTAATTAAGTTTGTAAACGAGAAAAGTTAAATTAAATCAAGCTCTGTAGAGCAGACCGTTGCTTGAATACTGCCTTGTGTTTGGACCATACATTGGTAGTGTCACCACAGCATTGCATGAATTGAAGTGTCAGTATCACAATAAAGAAATTGAACTATATCGTAACAACGGGTTAATCTAAACAAAAAGAATTCATATGTTAAGTAAGAAATTGAGTTTTCCATACATGTGAATGGAGAAAATTCATAATAAAATCGATTTCTTTATACATTTGACCCGGTTACCGACATGATTAGATTTAACTTAATGATTAAAAACACATATATGGTTTTAAAAAGAAAAAAAATGGATTATGTTATCAAAAATATAATTCTAACTATTTAATAAAGTGTTAGTTTTTTCATATCCAAAACCAATCAAAAAAAAATCCAATAAAATTATTAAGCATAAATAGAGTATTAGTTTTTTTTTTTTTCATTAAAAAAGTAGTAACAAATTTTCTAGATGGATAAAACTTAGCATATGGATGTCTTATATACCAAAAATATTGACAACCTTATCCAATCAACATCCACATTTCACCATCTCAGTGTCTATGTATTGTACATTTCTCTTTATTGCTCTCTCTGTTTTGAAAAAATCTGGTGTGGATAAGATAGGGATAGGCTTGAAGCAATAAAGGGATTAAACAGATCCAATTTAATCTTTTATTTTTTAATGTAAGTATTTCAATTTTAAATATACCAAGTTAATAAAGAAGGCCAAAATAGTATTGATTCTAAATAAGTTCACTTGTCTCCACTCACATGTTTATCAGTAAAATGATAAATTAATTATTAAATAATCATTCAATTTTTATTGAAAAAAATTGATTGAGAATAATTGCAAAATTATGCATATATATTATTGTATCGTATGAAAAGTTGTTTATGTTTGGGAAAATCTACATCGTACATTACATATATTTATCCAGCAAGATTTCACTCTAGCTAATATCTGGGGAGGAGACGTCTAGCTTTTGGCAATGGATCTCCTTCCCCACTCTTCTTTTCTATGGTTTTTATTTTCCTTTTTCCTTCTTCATCTCTTTTTTTTAATCGATAATTCATATTTTATTTTATTAAATTATAAAATCAAGAAAAATTTATCAAACTCAAGATACTAAGGACCTAGCAGGTCATCCCTATACATCCAAAACAACAAAAATCTGACTACTAAAAACTCCATATAACGATACAAAATAAATATAGAAATCTCATTTTCAGATAAGAAAAGATAAGCAACAAAAAAACTGCAAATTTCAAAACAATACAATTCTTACTCGTTATAGCCAAGCCAAAAAAGATACCTTAGCCTCAACACATTTTTTTGCCGGGCAATTTGTAAAACGATTGCTATTTCTGCTAACATATCTAAACTCAATATAACTCAACTGAAACATGGTCTAATCAAACTTAACATATCTAGACTCAATATGGCTGAACTCAATAGATTGGCTATACAAATTCTTCCTTCTTCATATAGTTTCTTGTTTTCTTTTTTTTTTCTTTTTTCCCTAAATAAACTCCAAATCTGAGAGCTTATAAGTCTTGTTCTTTCTTTATTTTTTTGTGTTTTATTTCTAGAAATGGTGCTTTGACTTTTGGTTAGTCTCCATCTCATGTGAAGTTAATTTATTTTCATCTTATATGTTGTTTTATCTCCATTTTATATGGAGAGTTTAATGTTATTTTTCTTTGGCCAGGTGTACAATATGCTGAATATATATTTTATAGTCGTTGATATACTATTTTCCGAGTATTGCAGTGTGATTTGTAGGGGTGTGCACGGAATTGCGGAAATCTCGACCCGTTTCCGAAAATCGTCTTGAATTTTCCATTTTGAGAAAAAAAATCTGATATTAATTTGATAGTCATATTTCGAATTCCGTCCAGAAAATATTTATGGGACGGGACTGATTTTTTGATTAAAACCAACTCATGCTGATCCAAGTTCTGTCACATCCCGTCCCGGTCCAAAAATCGGCAATTTCCATGTCATTTTTTCTTTAAAATTCTAGTTGTCTTTTTTGTATGAATTTCAAATTATGCCCCTAAAAATCATTTCATCCTTTTTACTTCAGTTTTTTTTTTATGATACCAATTACTACTAAAGTAATAATAATACGAAAAAATAATATGCATTTTTTAAATATAAAATAAATCAAGTAATTTTTTTTGTAATGAATTTCAAAATTATGCCACCTTAAAAAATCAAATTTCATCCTTTTTACTTCAAGTTTTTTTTTTTTAAAATGATACCCAATTCTACTAAAAGTAATTACTACTAAAGTAATAATAATACGAAAAAATAATATGCATTTTTTAAATATAAAATAAATCAAGTAATTAAACATAATTTTCAACATAGATTTTTACTCTGTTATCCACAATATATGTTCAATAAAACTTTTT